CTGGGGAGGGAAAAAAGCGTTACTGCTAAAAAACGTAAACGGATTTCCGAATCCATTCTGAACCCAGCCTGAATTCCTCTCCCGTCAGGGATCGAGGAAATTGCCACGTAGCTGCACCAGGACAAAAATCACCCGTGCAGAGGCTAGAACACGGGTTCCGCTGTGTGAAACGCGAGACTGCACACGGACTGCGCAGAAAAGTAGTTCTCATGGCGACCCATGGTACTGGCAAAGGCCCCTGCCCCAGTATCTTACTTAAGACTGTACTGGAGAAAGGCACCCATCTCACCACCAAAAAAAGGCAGCAGCTTTCAGCTCATGCCAGGCAGATGATCTTTTCTTTCCAAAATAAAGCTCTGAAGGTCATTAAATAAAATAATGCTCAATTATTAAACTAATCCAGGCACAAAGCTAGTTTTGAAGACACGTATCTGCTCCTAACAGCAATCTGTGTCTCATCCACCATCATCCGGCTGTGTGGGGCCTGGGGTCACCAGAGCAGAAGCATCCTTGGCATAACCTGGGCAAAAGCCTGAGCCAGTATGGCTCCTGGCATGCGTCTCGCCATTACCAGCACCAGAGGAGACCATGGGCAGCTTCATGAGGCTGTCAGCCATGAAGCACGTGTCGTTTTCTTCTCAAAGCTACAAAGGAACCTGACAGCCTTTATCCCCTAAGTTGGGGAGCCTTGTTCTCACCCTCAAAACAACTGTTTTCTTCTGTCAAGGGATGCGTGAAAGAGGAAGCAATTTCTTACGAAGCCTCATGAACCCTCTTGTTCAAGCAAACACAAATGGAGAGCTAGCATTATTAAAGAGCATTAGAAAATGCTGACATACCTCAGCTAGCTAAGTTAAATGTACCAACAGGCAGCTTAACACCCAAAGCACAACGAGACATTTGCTTCATAACCTAATATCTGAAACACTAAGACCATTTCAGAAACAGTTAGCCTTAGTCTACCATATGGAGACTTCAAAAGGCATTTATGTATGTAGTTAGGAACATATCTACTGACAAAAGAACCAATAAAATATATACTATAAAAATATTTCTTCTGTTTTATCCTAGTTTATTGAACCTTATTTTTAACTCTTATTTTTGCTTCCTCTGATCTACTTTATTTTGCAAACATAAAGCAAAAATCAGCATCAGGAAAAACCAAGTAGTTGGGTACAAAGCTTCAGCATGTCAAACTAACATTTGGGATTCACATGCTTTAGACGTGTGCATGTACACACGTGCATAAAAGCATTACTTATTTTCAAGGCCTATATCGCATTACTAGTAAAATTCATGCTTTTATATGCTTTCCTGGCATCATTTATCAAGAATCTTCTACAAGTCCAGCGAATGATAGAAGACAGATTAATCATGATTCCAGATAATCTATTTTCACTCAAACGTTCCAACTTCTTACACTGGTTTAAAGTGCTAGTGTCCATTGTTTGAGCTATGCACACATCAAAAATAAACAGCACATCTGAAAAAGAAGTTTTGCTCTCAAATAAGAGCAAGTAGGAAGCCACATGCTGTGAAGAAAGAAAACCCTGCTGCTGATTTACAGGTGGTTCTTGGTAGTGGAGAATGTTGGATAAACAGATCTGAGGCATTGGAATGGTAGGCATAGGAATGAAGTGAAAAGAGGGGAAGTTAAAGTATACAGCATAGGAAGGTCTTACTGGAAAGATATCAAAGATAACATCACACTAACTGGACTCATAAAATGCCTCAAGCATCTGAACGACACAGTAAGTTTCAGCTTATGGACTCTAGATTTACTGGGTTTACTCCCTGGTTGCTAACATGAAGAAAATCATCTGTGGGGGGAACTCTTACTGTCAGTACCATATCCTTCCCCTCTAGCATCCTTTGCTAATTCTGATGGGTTTGCCTGTCTTTCAATTAAATAACAATTTTAAATGTGGATTAAAGACTAAGTGTACCACAGGGAGCACTCAGTCTCAATGCAGTCAAAAGGAAAAGGTAAATTTAAAGGGGATTATTAGTAGAGGCTGGAGAAGGGAAGACTAATAAAACACACCGGATTTATTTTTTTCCCTTTCATTTCTTATGTTTGAAAAACAACGCCATCTGAGTTTGCCTATAGATATTACTGACATTTGTAATTGGGGCAGGGCAGACAAGATTTGTATGCCAAGACAGCCTCTTCAGAAGTTGCTGATGGGAACATTCTGCTCAAGTTAATTAAAAAAAAAACCCAACAAAACCAAAACCCAAACTCTGAAGTCACAGGAGTTTCACAAGACAAAAGATCTAAATTCCAGTTACAGAATTATTTGAAAGTGTACACAAAGCTACTTCTCAAATACATTACGTTTCTTTATCTTCCACAGGCTTAAAAATCAGGAAATTGTGTGTCAGAACTGTATGACTTGTCTTTTTCTTGCTTGATTCTTCTGAACTATTTCCATAGAAACTTTGGCTTCATACAATGGGATCGGTTCATCCAGCTGAGGCCTAAAATGGAACAATATGTCTGAAGTGCCTGGTGAGCATGCTCAGATCAACAGAAATATTGCATGACTACTGCTATAGACTTTACTTTTACTATGTAAACTTTACTCCTTAAACAAAATAAAAGTTTTATAGCTTTGCTTGGGTTCACTAAAAAAGAGACAAGCCCAAAAGCAAACAGGAAAAAGAATTTAATGAAAAGATACCCTTCTTAGGGGATAAAAAAAAAGGTGGTGGTGGTGAGGCTTTTGATCAAAAGCAGTACAGTTATCCTGCATTGAGGTAAAGGATCTTCCATTCCTACTTTATTATGGGAGTCTTCATACACAATGAAGCTGTCACTCTTCTCAGAGGAGTATTAGACCCATCATCCTTTACAGCCAAAACCATTTCTCAGTCAGACATGCTGCTGAGCAGCTAGATACATGCTCTTCCTCCACCAAGAAAAGCATACATGGCCTTTGTTAAATTTTGACATACAGCATAATCATGGGATTTAGCCAACCTCCCTAAGCATTAGCTTGCTATATTACAAACAGAAATAGACTGTAAACTGCTCCGTGTAAACTGTGAGGCATCTTTTCCTGAGTATCCCCCTATAAATTTGCAGTACGGTGCTGACAGGAGTTTTCTACTTCTAATGCTGAATTTAATTAAAAGAAAAAAGAAAATAGTAAAAAAAATCAAATTACATCTCACCTGAATATGCTACTTGATAATTTCTCCATTATATCTTCTAAGATGGGTATCTAAGAGGACTGTCAAGGTAACAACATATCTACAGATAAATCTTTCCATAATCACGTGTGCTGGCAAGAGCCCAGTACTGATACAAAACCAGCAGGATCAAGGCAAAAATGAAAGTTAACCTTAATGCCAATCTTTAGATCACATTTATGCACTTGCTTATATGTCAGAAACCTCCTTTCCTGAAATAGTGTACAGAAATGAAATATGGAAAATAAAATTTCAAAAAATAAAGCTCAAGTGTTAAGACTGACAAATGCAGCCCACGCTAGTTCAACATTCATCAGTCAGAACGGCAGTTGCGGTTTTTGTGCAGAATGAAGAGGACAGACTTTGGTACCAATTAACTATCCATACTCATCATACAGACATCTGAGGTGAAAATCAAAAGGAAGTTTGGAACACAGCAGAGTCTGTAAATCCACGGGGCAGCACTGTGCATCTGTAAGGGATCTTTGAGTTAATGACTACCATTCATAGCAATGCAACAGATGAGGCTGTATTTAGTCTTTATATGAAACTCAAAAATTTATGTTCCTTCCTTCCTTCCTTCATTTTTAGAGCAATCTGGTCAATATTTGAAGCTCAAGTCATTTTAAAAAGCAATCACCTTGTGATTTCTTCAGATGTTATTAATGCCATATGCTCAAGAATTTCACAAGATACACAGATCAAAAAAAAAATAAAAATCCCCAATCCTAAACCAGATTTTTCCTTTCAACTTTAAAGCCTATTGTGATAAAACGTGCTGTTGTTATTAAAGATACCCCAGGAGATGACAGAAGAAATATTACTGTTTAGTCAGCTTACTTTTCATGTGGATAACTACTCGGTAAGCATTCAACAAAAATACCGAACTATAAATCGATTCTTGATAACCTGCATCCCATAAACATTTCCTTAGTGTGCCTGACCTTGCCTAAGCTACTTTACAGTTTAGTGGAGGAGGGGAGGACCTCCCTGCAGCACAGTTAGTTGTTTCACAAATATGACGACTTAATCCTCACCTGCCTCTGCCGTTCTGCTAAACTGCAAAAGTGATTCAGCAGATCTCAGCCTGCAGTGCAGTAAAGAACAGGGAGGGTCCTTAAAGCCATAAGCAGACAAACCTTCCAGTACTTGAAGTGATCCACTGAAAACTGTCACACTAGTATAAAGCTCAGAGTCCAGCTGCTTAAGACCATATGTAGGTAACGCATAATGCAAATGAAGGAGGCATTCCTCTGCCCACGCCCACATCTTTGCTCAATGAGTTTTATGTACATAACTTTGCAAAGAAGGAAAATGTTATGAAGACAAAATATTTTAACTTTTACAGTTAAACTGATTGCATTCAGATTTATGGATGATGCATTTACTGCCCAAAAGAACAAAAAATAAAAAATATCATATGCATAATACAAAAACTTAGAGAATCAAATTGTCAACTAACGGGTTCAATCTTGAACCAAAATACTGCATTTTCTCCAGAATACATGTTTTCCATTTCAGCACTGCTTTTAATGAAGCATGTGGAGACACCTATCTAGAAGGAATGCAGAAGCTGGCTGAAAACATGAGGGAATGTTACATTTCAGTTACACTGTAAGCTTAACTGTGCTGACCTTTATGCCTGTCCTTATGTGACTGAGTAGAAGAAAATCTGTTAGTTGGTTTCTCAGTTGTATTTCCATCCACTTGTGTCAGCAGTCAGTATTCAAAAGGACCATCAAAAGGATATAGAGATACTTCCCTTGCTGTACATTGGACAAGTTCCATATCTCATCATTCAGAAAGGACACAGTGGCTCCTTTAAGAAATAAGGAATGGCTATCTGGAGGATCCAGCTTCAATAAATTGAATAACAATGTTATTTAGTTACATTTTTCTATATAAAAATAGAGGATAAATGGTTATTTTATATAGATGGTTAAAAAAAGCCCACAAACCACCCTTTGTTCATACTTAAAACTTAGCAAACTTGTGATATTTACAGCTTTAAATGATACTTTTCTGTCTTGTCGAGCAGTTTAATACCTTTGGCCACACAAAATAGGTCCTTTAAAATTTGTCAGTACAACTAAGCCATTAACATATCTTACTATCATCTCAGAGAAGACAGCCCCAAAACTGTTCCACAGGAAAATAAAAAAATGTTACTAATGCTGTCTACTTCCCATTTTCTGGATGTGAACATTTTCTTCAGTGAAAAGTGATGGTGTTACCAGTGGGGAATCACTTGGCCATTACCAAAGCTCACAGACACATCCATACATGTACTGTGGTACAGACTAACTTACTGATACAGTATCTTTACCTGAAGATTTTTTTCTGTTGTTATCCAGTGTCCCCCAACACCAAGAAGAGTTATGATATCATGCTTATGAGGCAGCAACTGTGATTTTGAAGTTGATTCATCTTCAGCACTGTATAATTTCACTGGGGAAGGGTAGAAAGAACAAATTCATTTTAGCTCAGATGAAAATTCGGTTCAGAATGAAACAGCTGTCTCTTCCTGTACTTAAGACCACATTATCTTGGGGTTCTTTACAGTCCTATGAATTCAGATACAAAAGAGATGGAATATATGCATATGAATACACCCAGTGAAAAACACCTGTCTGGAACAGCACTACAATTAGATTATGCTGTTAATCACATCCGAATATCTGAGAAAGTAGAAGATTAAGGAAATTCAGTATGTATCTTTTTTAACACATTGCAGTGGAACTTTAAGTAGTTCTTCAATTATATCAGCTAAAAATATTAACCAGAGTTTTCAACTGTTATGGCTGCTTTAGAATACAGGTTGACAGTACTGGTAACTATGGCATAATATTTGTATTAAAATAAGGTAGCATCAGCAACGATGTCACAGCTCTACTCTTTAAACATATTTTTTCCTTTTCAGTTTTAAATAGAGGAAAAATTCAGACAAATTTAGCAGATGACTGACAGTATTAGGTACTTCCTCTAGAGGGTGATATGAGGAGATCTTAAGGAGATATTGCTTAAGAAAACCTATTGAATAAAGGTACGCACATAGAATTGCATGGGAACAAGCAACTAAACGTAATTGTTTGAGGTGATGTAGCCTCCACCTCTAGTACCTGAATATTCTGCTACTACCACCACCACCACCTAATAGTGCTCTGAAGACCAGTCTGTCATCAGTTGCATACCTCCAGCATCTAGAACAATATCCACTCCCAGGCCACCTGTCTCTTCCAAGCAGCTCTCTGCTACATCAATCTTGCCATTTGACACATCTATCACACGAGCTAGAAAGAGCAACACGTTTGGTTAACTACAATAAAAATGCAGAGTTTATATTCAGAGCAGAACAAAAAGTTTCTAGTTTCTGAATGTATTACAAGCAAGTTTGCAGCTAAGTCAAAAAAGGAAATAGCTACTAGTTTAATGCAGAAATCAAACTCACAAATCTGTTTAGGCCAAAAAAATAAAGTATGCCATTATAAGAATTAGAAATCCTTCTGCAAGTTCATTATTTTCTATTCTTTTCCAAAAGCACCTTCAAAACCAGCAAGTTCTAGAGTGACTAGCCATGTTACTGAAGCAAGAGAGTGGCCAAAAGATAAGGAAGGACCTTATTTCATGTGTCCCAACTTTCATATTATCTATCAAATAACCACAGCAGTAATGCTTTGGAAGAGTTTTCTAATCATTGTTTTCTTCCCTTACTCTCCATAAACCCCACTACTTCCTGCCAGCCCCTCACAGAGCTCTTCTCTTGCTTCCAGATCACAGAGGGAAACAAAAACCTATTCTCTCTGGTATGGAGCCCTGTCTCCCAGTGCAAGTCAGAAGCAAACATGTAAAAACATAAGAAATTCTCTCACTTGTGAGGCAATGACTTGACCTTTCTTATGATTCCAGCAAGTTTTTTATTCTTATTATAGCCATCTTTTCTTTAAAATAATGATTAGTATCTCACAGCATGGATAAGCTCATTAATATATTACTTTCTGCATGATGTTTTTAACCTCCAAAAACCTCTCTGGGTCATAACTATTTAGATAGAATCTCTTGAAATATTTCTGAACTGAAAGTCACCAATATGTTTTCTTCTCATCTATCTGTGATACTATATTTATAGATGGTTATAAAGATAAACCACGGAATTGGGAATAACTAGGGCAGAGAAGTAGCAGCTAAGGTTTTTAGGTTTTTAGTTTTGGTTTAAAATTATGAGGAAAACCAAACATATAGAAACTAAATGGGCCAAACATCTTAGCAAAATGACAACTGAAACAATGTCAAATTTGGAAGCCCATTTCCAAGGCACAATGAATTAAAGTCAAATTTGCAATCTTTACTTACCCACTAAAGGCTGCCGTATACCTTCTTGAATTTAATCACAAGGGGTGGGAAGGAAGAAGAGAAGAAAAATTGCGAGAAACTGGTCATTAAGAAGAGTATTAACAAACACTCAGTTAATGCTTTGGGTTTTGTTTTTAATTGCCCTTCCAAACAAATCATAAGATGCATTCAAATTTTTTGGTCAATCATTCAGTTTTTTCACTGAGGTCAAATTATCTATCTGGCTAAAAAGAACAGACATGGTCATAATTTGATAAAGATATCACATTAATTTAATGATGATAGTCACATTCCCTGTATGCAAATAAACCCCCACAATATAATTTTCTTACTAGTTTCTCAGTCAAGAAGTTAAAAGGTTTTTCTTAACAAACATGGCAATTTGACATGGTAAAAGGTTTCAGCAAATTACTTTCTGAGAATCATTCTGATCTCAGAAAAAAGTCAGAAAAGCCTGACTATTAAACCAAAAGGCAACAGTTTAATCAGTTTGACTATTTTCTGGTTTCTGTTTAGCAGCAATTTCCAGTTTTATTGCTTGAATCAATACAGTGGTTAAAACCGTACTCATCAAAATCCTTTTCAATTTCCTTCCTAGCAAAAGGCGTAATAATCTCTCTCCACTATGGAAAAGGCTGAGCAACAAATTATAATGTAATTTTCTATAATCCTTTGTCACTTATGCAAAATTTCTTACAAAGAATTCTTAAATTGGTTCAGTTTCTTCTTGGACAACTTTTAAAGTAGTGTTATTCTGACTGGCAAAGAGGCTTCAGTTTCTCTCCTCTTTCACTGTCGGCAAGAAGTAGAAACACCAGTATTTCCACAATGTGCTACCAGAGCTCATGCTCACACAGTAATTTTACCTACAGAGTTTAAAAACTGTCACACAAAAGATTTAAGATTTGTAATTTGGTTTACTGAAGAGGCTCAAGCTGTGGAATCACTGAGGAGTTCTTACTAGAAATGTATCCACTGAAAGCTCAATAGTGGTTTTAAAGAAAAAAAAAAACCAAACCAAACCAAAAAAACCCCAACCAAAGGAAACAAACAAACAAAAAAAACCCCAAACAAACCCCCAACCAGAAAGGTGACCTAGGGAACAGAAGAAATAGATGTGTGTGTGCGTGTATATTTATTTTTTCTTTTGTTTTCTAACAGAAACTCATTGTTTATGTAATATTCTGTCTCTGGTCTGAAACATGGGCATTAAAAGTTCAAAACTGGTTATAATCCCCTTCTTCATACTATTATTATATTTACTCCAGAGATTACTGAAGAGATGTGAAGACCCCACCCTGCTGGCCTAAATATAAAATCCTTAAACATTAACAGGAACTTCTACTTCAAACACTGGAATCATATTTATTAAAAAACAAAACCCAAAACAAAAAACCCTGGAATGCAAGAACAGCGAGTGGCTTTTTGCTTTCACACTCAAACTGTTTCTCCTTTTAGTGATGTACACAGTTTATATCTCTTTACTTGAAATAAAGATGCAATTAACATTTTTTTCCCCTAATGTTTATGTTCCACAAACATTTGGAAAACTGCTAAACGAAACTCCTACTGGTATAAAGCAAGCACGTACATAAGCAATGTAAGCGATGGCCTTTTCACTGCAGGAGATGATTATTCCAGCCATTTTATGAAGCAGCTGGTTATGCTGTACACTGATAACTCAAACTGCTGCCCATTGACAACTGATAGACTCTTGCTAAAAGCTAAACAAAGAACCCAACACTAAACAAGAACAAAACTGGAAAAGCCTCCACACACAGGCATTAGAAGCCAGCTTAGATACATGGGTTACTTAGAGCATTTATTTTGTATGAACATTCATAGAACTTAAAAATGCCAGCAAAAAGTAAGTATGCCAAGCAACCCAAAGGCATATTCATATGTGCTGACAGGACTATGATAATAAAATTGCAACTAATTTAACTAACAAAGTTTTCTTATCATTAGCAAGATACACTCATAAATTATTAAAAAGCAAAGTTTTAGGTCTTTTGTATTTACTCTTTCACCCTGTAACAGCTGGTGTAACAAACCTCTACATACCAGCAGCATTCACATAAAATGCATTATGTTCTGATATCTGTAATGTCTACTATTACAGTAAAAAAGAATTCTGAGATAAGAAAAGCAAAAACTCGCTTTTCAGAGGCAATCTAAAAATGTAGAGAAATATGTCTGCCAGATCTTAGAGGAAATTATGACATCCCCAGCACAAAACTTTGCAGTTCCCTGTTGAAAACAGTTAAGGTCAGACAGCAAAAATGTCTTTCTCCCTGCTCTTGTGTAATAACCTCTGCACAGCACTCCACTTCCTGCTGCATTATCAGCACTCCAAAGCCACTACTGGAAGAGCTAAATACACACTTGGTAGGCTGGAAGTGAATCACTCCCCAACACTGCAGATGTGTGTGAATGTGCAGCCCCAGAATGCACTTGCACACTGTGTTGTCTCTGTGCTTCCACTGCCAGTTCTGTTCTTGGGAGCCAGAAAGGAATTAAAATTGACAAGAACTCTGTTCTCTCTGTGTCTGAAGAGCAGCTCTCTGGCTTATTTCACCCCTCTGTTAGCTTACTATTCTTGAGCCAGCAAGGGAGAACACAAGGACAATACTATGTGCACCTGCGCATCAGCAATGCCTCATTTTAGTGAGTCACTAAGAAGAAGAGACGAGGTTTGAAAACGGCTCCAATTCTCTGTTTGGAAAGCAAAGACTGCTGATGATTTAAGTGCAAAAAAACAAAGGAGAAAGGGGTCGGAGTCAGGGACAGCTAACCTTGTTATTAACTTTTTAATCAGATCTTAATTAAAAAGATCTTAACCCATATATATTTTGATAGCTGCAACTGTAATGTATGTTGATGTGATAACTGACTACAGAATGCTTTCCCCCAGAAAGCATTCTTACAAGATACACAGCTACTTTTTACATATGCTTCTTTGAATGGCAACAAAAATCATACACTGAAAAATAAACTTGATGATTATTCTGTGTCAGTCTTTGCATTTTGAGGAGGCAGTAACAGACACTGGTTTTAACCTTCTACAGAAAAGTTCATAGACTGCAATCAAACTGGACTTCGCAATGCCATCCTTTATTTTCAAACTGTCTGAATAAAGAAATATTCTACTTTCCTCTATTCTGCAGCATTGAAATAAGAAAAGGTCTGTTCAGGAAGGATGCTAGTAGCTTTCTATGGTCCAAATAGCACTGTTACTTTCAGGGGCACCACCCTTCCCCTTCAAACTTAAGTATCAAAGAGAAGAAATGGAAAAAGTCATAGATGAATCCAAGTACTAATGTCTAATGCAAAGCTCATTTAGGACATAGGAAAATGCAGAGATTTTGACTATCTCGTCATAACAGCTATTGTTATGACAGTACTTGAAACAGAGCTGCCACACAGCTTGATAAAATACTATTAGAAGTAATCCCAGTCTGATGAATACTGTATCTCAAGTGTGTGATTGCATCTGAACTCTGCCTCAGGTACCTAGATTACATACTGTGATATTGGTGCTTCAGTAATGCTTTCTTCTTGTTCACAAGCAACCAGTTTATAAAAAGACTTTTGGAGTAGTTAGGCCAAAAGCCAGCACTCAAGCACTATGGAAAGCACAAAGAGACTGTCATTACAACATAAATGAAGAATAAAAATGCCATTAAATATACCTAAACCAGAAATAAAATACCTATGGAGTACAGAATAAATTTTAAAACTATTTTATTAGACTATTTATAATTTTGTGTTTCAGTTTTCAGGTACTGAAATAAGTCCTAAGACCAAAATAAATAAATAAATAAATAAATATTTTTTGAGATGTTCTTTAGTGTAAATTTTAGCACTGAAGAGTATAACTTACCCACAGGAGGTCTAAGCCTCTCCAGGTACTGCTTATCTTCAAGACTGTATGCAGTAGAGATTACTTTAGCTCCTCTGTGTTGTGCTAACTGAATAGCTATTGTACCAAATGGCTGCAGAACAAAAAAGGTGGATGAGTTTGTTTACAGCAACAATTTAATGCCATTTAAGAAAAATCTTACTGCAAAGAACATTCAGACGAATATCCCAAAATGAACTTCCTCTTTTAATAAAACACATCTAAACCAAGATTTTGAATATTCATAGATCTGCTTCTGTTCTAAATGAGGCAAAAAAAAGTCTTTTCATTGACTGGAAAGCTCTGAACAAACTTCTAGTGACTAACTACTTCTTCTCTTCAACAGAGTATCTCAGATTCTACTTTAACTAACACAAGTACCATAACTGCAATTGTAACTTGTAGCTTTGGGCTTGCTTGCTTGTTGAATGAAGAACTACCAAGGAAAAAGCCCCAGCCACATTTACATTAATGAATCTTGGGTGAGGCAAGCTCTGCATCTTCATTAGCAATAAAGATTGCAGTAATGCAAATGAAATTATTTATATCTAAGACAAGTTAAAAAGCGGTGGGAAAGGAATAAAAAATTAAGGCACTTTCCTCCAGCTAGACCTGAGGGCCCAGGGTAAAACTTTGTCAATATAAAACACAAGGAAAGAACTAACTCTCTTCACTACCCACACAACATGTAAAGGACCGTATTCTTGGCTCAGTACCTTATGTGGGAGGGCCCTTCCTGTTAATCCATTAAGTTAAGGGTGCTGGCAAGAGTAACATACAAGGCTTGATAAGTTTAGTATGTTGTAAGAAATCCAATTGTTCTGGTAATGAGGCAGTTATTTACAGTAGAGGTAATCTTTCTGTTCTGAAATTGTTATTATTGCACAGTTGTTACCTACACTTGCTCCATCCATTACAAGGACAGTTTTTCCAGGAGAGACTTGGGAAAGGTAGTGTAAAGCTGTGTATGCTTGAACACCATCACGGACGGTCCCAGCTGCTTCAACCCAACAAACTTTTTCTGGTTTACGAACTAAGTTTGGGGAAAAAAACCAAACAAACAAAAAACAGATGGGAAAAAAAGCACAGCAAGTCCCTGATATTTCACTCAGTTATTTTTTAGATTTCATTGATTTCTAAAACATGAAAGAAAATCATACAAGTCAAATCATCTACAGGTGTAATTATGATCTATTTCACAAAGGCAATATTGCGATGTTGTGGCTCATGGCAGTGTTAGGTCAGCTACACGGAGTCGAAGTGGAAAAAGGCAACTGTTATTCCATGAATAATCAGTTTACTTTTGCAGCACTCTTGCAAGCAAGTTCAAATACAAGCACAGTACCTAAACAGAGAAAAAGAGAGACATGTACTTCCTACCATAACCTCCTCAGAAGTGATCTGAGGAGTTCTCTTTTTTCCACAAAAATAACTGACACAGAAAACACACAATGCAACTTCCAACCCACTAATTCCTAATTCTTGTTCTCTATAGGTTAGAATCTACTTCATAATCCATTGGTATAAACAGCTTATGGAGGTTATAACATATTTTAAGAGAGGTAAAGGTCAAAATAACATTATTTTTCATTTCTGTTTTCTGTTGTCTCTACCTACAAGATGCTTAAGAATTTCCCTATTGTATTCACATGCTTAGAAGGAAGGTAATGTTAATGAAGTACTCTGTTAAATAGAAATCACAAGTGCAAACACCATTTTCCATATAAGCAATTTACATGATTTAGCAGAGACTTTAATGCTAAGCTGGAGATCATCATAGCCCAGCTGAAAGTCTGGTGCAGAACTGAACTACGTAAACTCAGTACTCTTGAGGCACACTACAATGAAAATACTGGAAAAGTTTGGTCTGTCCCTTTAAGCATAAGAATTGACAGTGTAGGCTGAATCAGGGAAGCTATAAAACAACATAAGCAATGTAATCACCTGGGATCATTTATCAGTGTGTTGGAAAAGAATTCTAGGGATCATCACCAGCATTATCACTTTGTGTGCCAGTTCAAACTACTTAGCACAAAGTAAACTACTGAAGGTAATATGAAGTCAGAAATATTTTCTGCCTATAGTCACTGTAAATATCGGTAAGTCAGCACAGACCTCTAGATTTCAATTTGCTTCATTTGTACTTTTAAGCGTTAGCATGAGTAAATCTTATTTTTTTCCATCTCCGGAAGTCCATGACTTATTTTGCAAAAGCTGTCAATAGCTAGTCAGGAAGATTTCATCTTCAAACAAGCCAACATAAATACTACTTCTTTACCTCTCATATATATGTTAAAAAACCATGGAGAGGATATTTTACCATATTTTATGCAGTAAACGCAGGGATTCTGTTTTGGTATAAACAAATTTAAAGGAGTCACCTTTAACTATGCAGGTTGAATTCATGGACAGGCACAGAAACACAATACAAACTAATCTGAGCTAAGCACTAGTTTGCTCAAAGTAACACAACAAACTGTTGGGAGAAGCACAGATATTCCCAAATTTAGTATTCTACACATTAAAGCACTCTATGCCCAGAAAGGGGAAACTGGAAACTCACAGGAACTGAAAAGAATGTTTCAATCCTAGGCTTTCCCTGATCCCCATTCTCCGAAAATTCCTTTCTCCACCTTCTAGTCTGCTATTTTTATCCCATCTGTTAGCCCAGTCACAACTGATATTCCTGGATTGGGTCAATGTGAGGAAAAAAGCAAATTTCTCCTTACTTAATTTTGTGACAGATGAGGTGAAGAAAAAGTAGAAAGACAATGGAGCAACAAAAAGGGAAGTTACAAGGGGGTTAAGAAAAAAAAAAGAAGTCAGCTTGTGTGGTTTGGTTCAGGCAAAACATTAACCCATTAAATCTCAACAGCAAAGAAAAATCCCTTGAGAGTACATAGTACACAAGTTTCTATGAACAGGTGGAGTAGACACAACGTCTGAATGTTGCTATGCAGAACAACTTTGCCCAAAGCTCCAAGTTAATTAACTCCCCATTAGAAAAGCTAAATTGAAGTCTAAAGATACAGTAAATATAAATATTGGCAAAATATATGAACTACGTACCCAAATAATGCTCATGAACTAGAATAACTTCACAAAGACCAGACTCTTCAGAATCCAAGGGCAAAATTCCTGAAAATAATTGGACATAGACCTTAAATTTCAAATAAGTACACATTATAACCAAAACAAGCTCCTAATGAAACTGCCAGTCCCACTTGGTCTGTGGTTCTGTTGCCCTCCTGCCACGTTAAGAAAACTTGGCAAGGTAATAGCCTATCACCTCTGTGGGCACAGTGCACAAGATGGTTCCAAAGGTGCTCCAAGCAGCATTTTGGGGTTGGGAAGAGAAAGAATGGGGACACTACTGAGTGCTTTTTGCTACTGGCATGCTTCATTTTTGTAAGGTCATGCCTGAATTCACTTCACACTGCTCTCACTCTGATGAGTTCTCCTATTTCTGCTCTGGGCCATGGCTAACAAAGAATAAAACCAAGCTCTTGCACTGCAGACAGGCACCGACTAAGCCACATTACAGATACCTCTCCACTTCCATCCTGGTGGAAGTGTAGAGGTCTGTACACGTGTTGTTAGCAAAGGCAGCAAAAAAGGGACAGAAAGAAGCAGAGGAAGAACAAGCAAGAATGCGTGAGTGTAAGATTTAAAAAGTTGGAACAGAAAACAGGAATTGAAAAAAAAAAATAAAGAAAGAAATCCATCCTGGTCATAACTGTTTTTTCTTCCACTGGCCAAAGAAGGAGATTCATGAACAGTAGGTTCTGGCATTCATTCAGTCTTCTGAAATATATATATCCTCTATCCTTGGTAAACCAGTGTTATCTTCCCTCTTCTTACACTCCATTTAGATGAAAGCAAGGGCTTTGGCATAGAATACTCAGTAAATTTGGCTGCTGTTTCCAGTCTTTCACAATTCCCATTAAAAATGGTTACCCTACAGTGCTGTATACAGTGCTTGTATATATATGCAGATCCCTCAAAGGTTTATCTATAGAATAAAAATAATATAAGGTCTAAAGTAGCTATCTACACCAGCTATTGTGCAATTAGGAAATAATGCAAGGGCAAGAATCTCAGAATAGAACATACTTTCTTACAACATCACTATTGATTCTGTCTTACTTTCATAACATGTCATTCTCTAGTCCTTTAATTTAGCTTACAAAATATAAACATGTATGAAAGAATGTGTTAAGAAATACTTCTTCTATCCTAAAGTATCATTCAGATTTTGATGGTTAACACAATATCGTATTTCAAATGTTAAGAAAAATTTCCTTATAGTAAACTAAAGTAGCCTTGGCACCTAAATGAGTTTGCATTCTAACATCTTACTACAGAAAAAGCAAAATCCAGAATGAATAATCCATGAAGAGATTCCTTTTCTTGACAGACACAAAAGTTCAGGAACAAGTAACATTATCTCCTAACACTCAAGACAGCCTCCAAGGAGTCATTATACATTGCTGTCAACTCACATTGATTTCAGGGTCTCTAAAGCCATTCACAAAAACATGACCCTTATACTAAGGGAATGACATAGGGCATCTTAAGAACTGTCCTCACAGTGCTTACAGAAGCTCCAACATGTATGTTACACACATCCAGCATTTGCACAAATACAAAATTAGATTTTTCACCTTACCTACCAGAAATACTACACACAGTGCAGGGCTTTCATGCATTGATTATGTATTCAAGAACCAGGCATATGGAAGAACTGATAAGCAAGTGGCTAGCTACCAGTAACTCTAAGCAGGTACCTTTACATTTAGGTTCATGTCTTCAAGTATTTGTGGCAAATTTAACTTGTAGAATATTTTTGCCTACACTTACTTTAATGAGGAAAATGGCTTAATTGATTGCTAAAAGGTTCTGAGAGCAACAAAGAAAACTGACTGATTTTGAAAAGGCAAGAATGTATCTCAAAACAAAACAGTTTCAGCTGTTCTGAGGTTTTACTACTGTATTTTTTCTTAACCAAACAAATTATTATGTATAAGAGAATACACTATATAGACAAAGAAATCACCTCTGGAAAACCAAAGAAGGATCATAAAAACTTTGAAAGCAACAAACAATTCTTGGTCTGATTTTAGGAATAGATTTAATACACCAAGTAATTCCAGCGAGCACACAACTATTCTTACACACACACACAAAAAAAGAAGAGATTCAGAAATAAGAACCACATGACCATATTATTACTGTTAAACTCAGTAAGGAGTATATATCAGGACTATATTCTTTGACAGAAGGACAAGCTTTTTGTAAAATTCAAGTAGAAATATTTTTCTGACAATTGGGTATTTTGGGACTGTTTTACATTATTAAACACACAGCTAACCAGACCATTTCGCAATACTTATTTTCTTTTAGATCTGGTCATTCATTAACTACATATAAACTCAGAGCAATAGGGCCTGGGAAGCGTGTTCATTAAGAAAGACCTACATAACAGAAATATTTCACTCTTGTATATATTGGATGCGTAAGGTTGAACAGCTGTTTAAAAGTGAATGTCATGAGATTTCAGTATTTAAAGAAGCGGGTTTTCTTTCTTTTAGGGCTAAAAGTACTTAATGCTCTTTTCTTCATCTTCCTATTTCCACATGTGTAATTCTGACTTTTCTGTACCTCCATTCGCAAGCATTCGGTATTTAAGAATAAAAACCGCAGACAATGGAAGTCTCAGACAACATGAACCTGCTTCTTTCATGACCCAAGTAGATATGCTATGCTCTTAATGTGAGATTCAGTCTGAAGTAGCTCAGCTGATTCAAACTACTTATTCTATATTTGAACTAACAAGAATGGAACAAAGTTCTAAATCACAAAAAAGCCCAACTCTCCCACAGCCACTTAAGAATGTCACTTATGACCTCTCAGGTCCACAGACATATTTTCAGAAGGGTTTTTTTTCCCCCTAATTACTTACTGAAACTGTATTCCTTCAGCTGCAACAGAAGGTGATTGAAACACAAATACTATTTAAAAATATTCAACAGATGCAGCATATCTCAGTAAGATATTTAACCAAATGAGCGATACTGTTCACGATAATGATACTATTCATAGTTCAAAGTTAATTCATATGCAAGACCAGAAAATGCCTTGCCATAGCTGTTCTACTTCATTATACAAAGCAAAGCCTCTTCTGTACATCATAAATGGAATATTAATTCCCAACTGTAAGGATTACACCTTCTGTAGTGAATAAATAGTAATAATCACACATCTTATTCCACTAGATTTAGGCTTATGATGTGAAAGGTCTGCCAATTTTGAGCAGGAAAAGAAAGCCCCAAACACTTTCAGTCTGATTTTTTACCTGGAAGTCTATTTAACAACAAATGAAAAAAGTACAGCAATTATCACTTGCCTTTCTGATGGGTTTCTCTAACAATAATGTCATAGCAGGATCATAAAAGCATTGAATCCCTGTGATTAAGTTAGAGGAGAAACAAGTCCACTTTCTAGAATTCTAACATGCAGTAAAAATGAAGGGTCTGGAAAATGAGCAGTTTGAATCAGTGCTTCCTTTTAAATGCGGTCCTGAGTATGTGCATTGCTTTTGGCAACTCAGAAAATCCAGCAGAACTGGTGACCCTCCTTGCGTGTTGAAGTTAGGACCACTCTTGATTACTTTATTCAAACAAGAATTGACATGACTTAGAAGAAACTGAACAGTCTTCAATACACCTGAAGAAAAGATTCATCACTAGCAGTTAAAATTGTGTTTTTATATCATCCTTAAAAATGCAGGTAATACAAGTCTAGACTTTGTATTATCCACAGAAATAAAAGATACATATTAAGTGCATCAGGATGGTGTTATAAATACAAATAATAGCGTATGTATTCAGATGGTTGTCTTTATAACATTCACTCCACGTGGCTGATTGGACCCAGGTGTTTATTCTTAAAGATTTGGTGACTGAAGGAGGACCATGACAAACTACATTAGTCAGGGACCTGAACTTCCCGTCTTATAACTGAAAAACTTCCCTAAGAGAACACTTTTAGAATAGAATTCTCATTTAGAAGAGCTTATTCATGTGACACTAGTTGAATCTTTGAAACTATATCTCTAATTTTAGCTTTAGCAATGATTATAACCTCAGCCATTTGTTACCAAGAGATTACTGTGTTAGTTGATAAGGCAAAAAAGCATTAACTTACCCACCACTTCATCATCTGGCTGAAAAAAGGTCACGTTTCTTCCAACTCATGAAGAATATATGAAAGGAGGAAGGAAGGTATGAAGAGAAATGTTTATAGATGAAATTGAACATGTATTTGAAGGCACTGTTTATCACTAGCTCACAAGCCTAAAAATATACCCTGCAAGTGAATTTTTTTTCCCCTATTAAATATGCACATACCAAACCCAAATGTTTAATTCACTAAAGTCTGGCACCCCATCCACAAACAGTTACATGCAAGCACACACACGTACATGTTTTTGAAAGATCCATGCTTTAAACTACACATCAAAGGTGGCTATGCCAGTGAAACACTGCCGAATTCCTGAACGTTACTTTGTATTCAGTATTCCAACAAATGATTTTTACAAATAAATTAAAGATCGTTACAGCGTGTGCAGGGAATATCTTAAAATCTCTGTATACTTCATTTAGAAAGCTCCTGTGCAATTTTTTTTTTTTTTTAAATTGATATGCAGTAATCACGGTTCAGTTCCTTTTTTTCCTTACTTTCAGGATCATTACTGATTGGGGAAAGCCTCGTGGAGAAAGCAAATAGTTCCTACTATTACAGGAGTACAAACAATATTTGTTCTGGATTACCAGACCTTAATTCTTGCTCCATACCGTCACAAGGCAATTATACAAACTCACCTTCCAATACAACTCCAGAAATCTCCCTCCCAACAGGTAGAAGCTCCCTCTCCAGTTTAATTTCTGACAGAAGCTAAATGAAAATAATGGTTACAACATTCTTATAAGGCTTGAAATTTGCATATTTATTACCATATTGCACTGTTTTGAAATTTAGAGTAAGGAAATTGGGCCATTACCAAAATGTTATCTGGGGGAAGAAAGTACACACATTCCTCATTCAATATTAAAACCCTTCCACTGATTTTCTATATTTAAATTTAGAAGCATATAAAAAAATAAACCCAGAGTGTTATTAACAGGCAAGCCAAACTCTGACTTAAAGTCAGTATGCAGAGGATGATAAAAGGGATTTACTGTAAGAGAACTCATAAATGACAACTGATCTTTCTCCATAAATTAGGAACCAAATTACAGGTGCTTTTTATTTAGAGAGATATGCAAGAATACCACATCAATCCTGTGCCCTCCTTCTCAGCAGCAAAACCATGTTCTCAGATGGTATAAATGGAATTGTGCCAATTACCAGCCAGGGCGCTGGCTTAGATCTTCAACGGAAACTGTAAACACCTCTAGCTTTTATTAAAAAAATAAAATAAGCAAATACCTTTGTATCTATCCAGCTCAGTGCACAGGCTCTGACTTGTACTTTCACATCATTGTCTCTTGTAGGAGGAAGGTTTTCCTAGGACAAATGTATACATGTTACATTATACAATACATCATGAATGTGCTAGGAGGATCTTCTCAAGCTCTTGAAAGCACTTTTTCCACAGAGTCTTTGTTTTAGATAGTTTTGTAGTCAGAACAAGGATTTATTTTTTTATTTCTCAATTAAAAGAGACCTGATACCAATATGGATATACAACATCATTTTGAGTACATAGAATCATGGAATGGTTTGGGTCGGAAGGGACCTTACAGGTCATCCAGTTCCAACGCCCCTGCCATGGGCAGGGACACCTTCCACTAGACAAGGTTGCTCAAGGCCCTTCAACCCGGCCTTGAACTATTACCAACCGACCACTAGACCTTTGTAAACCTCACAGATACTGATATTATTCTTCTGCTTGTTCCCCCCCACCCCGCAAGTTAAATATCCCACCCTTATCTGAAACAATTCTAGTATGTTATTACCCCCTAATACCTAAAAAAATATGAGGATCTTTACTATTAAGACTATATTCCAAGACTAACAGAGAATTCTAACGGAACTTTGGCATGAATGTCTAACATATTGTACTGATAAACTTACTGAGGTGAATACTGAAGCAGTCTAGATGATGCCCAAGAAACTCCACTGGTAAGAATTGGTGTTAAGCCCCATAAACAGTAGCTACCTCACACAGAAAAGTGATCTGCCAATGAAGCCTCTCTTTACAATTTCAACTTTTGGATTGAGGATTAGTATCTGAATTTATTTTAAAGTAGTTGAATACTGCTACTTTCAAGTATTTCATTAGCCAAGTTGAGTTCTGGACTGCTGGCTCCATACTGCTGTTGAAGAGCTACCTCAGGTACTGGAGGCAAAATCATGTTATTTCTATGTTATAGTGTAGTATGCAGCACAGATATCTGTTGAAATTAAAAGTTAAACTTATCAGAAAATCATGAGAGTGCTTTGATTTTTTTTTTTTTTAACTCTTCCAAAGAACCAGCTGTTGCTTTTCTCCTAAGCTTAGCAACATGAACAGTAAACTCCGTCCAAGGAATACTGAGCTGAACTTTTTCTCACCCCAGCTGAGTTAAACACATGCTATTCCTTTAAAACTGCAAAGAATTTTGCCAGACTGACCTCCTGCTCCTCAAACAAAGCAAAATGGGTTCTCACTCTTCATTCCACAAAACAGAAAAACCAGAAATAAAGCCAACAGAAAAAATATTGAACTATACAAATACTGCATCTCTGGTAAAAAAAACCCAAACAAACCCAAACCAAACAAAAAAATCCCCAAACGCAAAACCAAACCAACAATCCCACCCCCCAAGCCCCAAAGCCAAACCTTGCAGAACTTAGAATTTAAAGAACTTACGTAATTTACATAAATAAAAGATTATATTGTCTTTTGGAACTATTCTTTTGGTATGCATAGCTCATTGAACCTAAGTACTGCTAAAATGCACGTAACAAAACTGCTTTTCTTTGTAAAAGAATACAAGTCTTAAGAACGAAAAGAGATGATGTAATGATTGTGCTGTTAACTGGCTCCTGCCTTCATAATTTAGTATGTCATTATTCAATTTATGGTGCTTCATTAATTTAGGAATTAACCAAGCCCCATACAAGGAAGGTTTGCTATGGAAGTTCTTTATGCAAGATACTGACTTTATGTTATCCACCTTCTGTTCTACTAAGGTCTCCTCAGCCAACTAGCTTTCCTGTTCCTTGCTTTTGTCAGTATTTATTTCTATTTACAATGAGGATTCCATAGTGCTGGTCATTACACAGACACCTGCAGAATCAGTTCCTCTCTGAAGAGATTTAAATAGGCAAGTAGGCAGCCAAAGTCTATGCACAAGAATGCAGTTCCGGGCTCTGCTTTAGCTTACCAAAGACTGTACCAGAGCTGCCTGGCTCACTTGTTGCCAGCATCTACATATTCCCATCCCCTCCTAGCAATCATGGAGCCATAATGACGTGAACTTGTAACAGGTTACTAGTTTTCACCTGGATAAATAAGCTGATCCATCTTACTTTACAGCTGCATGACTCATAAAACCATTACAAGGAAGAGAATGAATATGTGCTGTTAAAAGATGAACAAACTTTTTCAGCAAAAGGACAATTCTGTAATCAGTTTAAGTAGATCTAAGACTGCCCCATGAATATGCAACTTGGTTATATCAAAATCACCCATTTAATTGCATCCTTCTCTCCAAGTGGTTCATTAGATGTGCTTCACTATTGGGACTTTACAGCTGCTCAAGCAAGATTCTCACCAGTACTATACTGCTTCATTTTCATTTACAGCTCATAAGTATATTTGGGTATTTATATCACACAGGTAACATACATAGGACTATTTAGGCATCTATATTACACAGGTATACACAGGTATCTATAGTAATTTATTTTGTACCTATATTAAAGAACACAGATTCACATCATCAAAACCACTTAAGAGTTTTCCGACTGTTCAGATACCCACATTGCATCAATATACACTGTCATCCTATTTTAGCCTTATGCCACAGCTCATGTGTACACACTTCCCGAGTGCCTACATCAAACTGACGAAGACCCTTAGCACAACAGTTTCAGCTAAACTTGACAGAAAAATAGATGCCTTCTTGTTGTTTCTTTAAATTGTAGGAAAATAGGTAGTTAGACAAAAAGAGATTTATTGATGCCTCTGAGAATAAGGCTGCACTGTGATCTCAATCCTTACTAAAAGCAAAGAACTCACAAGAAGAAAGTAAGTAACAATAGGAACACTCCAAACAATAATTTTCTCAAGCTACAATTCTACTTTTTCAGTGATCAGAAAATCCAGCCAGAAGATGGGAAACCCATGAAGCCAGGGTTCATTTGTTACACCTGCAAAAGTTGTTCTTAAAATACGGACACCAAAACTGTAAGAAATCTAGCACTGGTCTTGCCAAGTGCTACATGATGATGGTAAAATACACCTCCCCTACTTTCATTTACCTGTCTGTATGTGCAAAGATTACACCAGTTCTTTTTTAAGTCTATGGAAGAATTAGCTGTTACAATTCCCTTGTGGCATTCAGCCACACTATCTTCTTCCACTGAATGATTAACAGCGCTATTATGACTGGAACTCACTCTTGCCTGGAAGACAAATGTAATTTCCTCTCCAGGGGAATTCTGCTGACCATACAAGGCCTTCATAGCGACCTGAAAAAAAGACACAGCAACCAAACTGTAACACATTTGGTATCTATAAAGCAAACAAGTAACTAAAGCTTTATGTTACTTGATAAGCAGAACACTGATTGTTTGCAAGCAACACAGGGCCTATTAGTCCTTCCAATACGCAAGATCTAAACCAGATCAACAGATAAAGCAAAATATATGGTGCTATGTGCAATAGGCTATATCAGTATTGATGACTGTAATACAACAAATCTTAGGGTCTGAGGATGTACAGCAAAAGGCAATGAACAATACACAGGCTTTAATAATTAGTGGTCCAATGCAGCAGATGCATTGTTTGCCACCCAGCTGGAAGGCATACAATTTGACTAGCTCAGACAAAGGCAATGCAAAGGGCAACATAACCAGCAAGGAATATGAGGAACTTTACATCTAACTTCACTAAAAATCACAACTTGGGTTTTAGGTCTCGTCTCCCAAGTTGGCATGTGTTGTCCTCAACAAACAAGAACCTTTTGGAGAGAAAACTAAAACAAAGTAAGAAGAGGTCTCCAAGTTACAGGAAAAAATAAAAGCAGAGACCAGAGAGGCAAAAAACCATACAGCCATTATACTGTTTCTGGCAGCACTAACACTTCAGGGGACGCCCAGTGTTGAGGAGACGGCCCCCAGGCACCTCGCCTTTCAGAAGGGATAGCAGCGCCGCAGCCGGGGCTCGGCACAGCGCCCGCCCACTCCGCAGGGGGCCCCGGGCTCAGCAGTGCTAGGCTACTTCGTCTGGTTCCCGGCGCGCTG